TCCAGAAAAATTTATATTTGATTAATGAATGGCATTTTGCCAATGTTAATAACTTGACTTTATTGAAGCTGGAAACTCTTTGCTCCATTTAAGATCTTTCTGTAAGGAACATAACTTAAAAACCACTTTATGTGACTTAGGATAATATATACCTGTGCAGCCCTGTTTTTGCTAGGGAGTTGGCTCCACTCAGAAAGTGTTGCTTGCCTGGAGAGCATGAGAACCTGAGGTCAACCCCAGGACCCATGTCCCTTTAGTGCTGCCTAGGTTTTGGCTTTTAAACATGGGTTGAGGCTCAAACTCAGTTTCTCATTCCGTTCTTGTATGGCAAATGCTTTGCTGACTGACCCATTTTCCATGTCCCAAGAGATTACTCCTCATGAGTTCCATTCATTCTTGAAAGTGTGACATGATAGCACTGTGTGCGTGTGCTCGAAACCTTGTGTTTTTCCTATGGCAACCTTCAGGAGAAATGAGAATAAGCCACAGGGCATTCTGACTCTTAAGGTATACTGCCAAGACTTGTGGGTAGGGACTGGGGCTCCTGGTTCAAGGAAAGGTTTTCAGAAGCTTTTGGGCTTTCCTAAAACTCATCAAGTTTATATAAGTAGCTAAGTGCCTGTGTTGAGCTTAGCAGGTCAGGTGGGGGGTAGGGAAGGATTTCATATCTTTGTGTAGGTATTTAAACTGAGTTATTATAGATATATTATGATGTATATTATACATACATATTATAGATATGAGTTATTACAGATTATAGATCTTCTCCTTCCTTCCTTTCTAATTGAACATAATTTAAATAGGTCAGTTTGAAGTTTTCCCTTTTGAGGCAAACTTATTGGTGTGACAACAGTCTTGATTTAAAAAAAGAACCGGGGGTGGGGGAACAAATTAAACATCTCCTGCTACCTTTTGGCATTAGAGAAAACTAATAGTCCTATGAAGGTCGATGCTTTGAGATAACAATGACATGTTTACCTCCAAGACCTTGACGACCAGTTTCTTCCTTTTTAAAATCGTAAGCAAGATCTGGCTGGCACCGTTGCTCTTTTCTAGGTGTTTCTGTGAAGTGAGGGGCCGCTTTCTTAGAAGGGGGGGTGTGTGCTTGATATTTAACGGTCCAGGCTCTCATCCTCTGCCAGTTGCTTTCAGCTCCACGGAGCTCAGGCTTTCCATTTTAGAATGAAATACACCGATGAGAGCGTGTGGGTTTCTCAGCTCCACCCTGTTACGGTTTTGCTGGAAACCACATGTTCTCCCTACTTTTTAAAGATTTATTTATACCTGGCGGTGGGGGCACATGCCTTTAATCCCAGCACTTAGGAGGCAGAGGCAGGGGGATTTCTGAGTTCGAGGCCAGCCTGGTCTACAGAGTGAGTTCCAGGACAGCCAGGACTACACAGAGAAACCCTGTCTTGGGAAAAAAAAAAAAAAAGATTTATTATGCATACAATGTTCTGCCTTGCATATATGCCTTGCATGGCCAGGAGAGGGCACCAGATCGCATCACAGATGGTTGTGAGTCACCATGGGGTTTTTGGGAATTGAACTCAGGACCTCTGGAAGAGCAACCAGTGCTCTTAACTTCTGAGCCATCTCTCCAGCTCTCCCTTAATTGTTTTTAACACTCAGGAGATTCAAAGTTAAGTTGAGGACTGGGAAATCATGATTCCACTCATTAAATGGAAGAGAGCAGAAAGACTATCTAAAGAACATCCCGCCTCTGAGGACTTTAAAGAAGGTAAGGGACATATTCCTCCGTTCCTTCTAAAACACAGATATAAATGTCACCCCTCCCTGACCCCTGCTTATCCCATAGTGTGTTATATACCCTAAGAAGGGCTCTAATGGTGGCAGAAGGTCCCTGGGGGCTGAGGGCACAGTGTGTCATTCTCATGGGGCTAGCTGGTCAGGGAAGGCAGACTTGGGTACCATTTGGATCCTAGACACATGCACACATCTAAATGGTCTTTGAATGTAGCTGCAATCAGACTTGCCTGCTAGGGAAGCGAGCCGCCGGCTTCGGGGACCTGTAATCATATCTTACTGTCATTGTGGTGTTCAAGTGACAGGCAGCACATGCAATTAGGATCAGCCTGTGAGTGTAATCAGCGGTTATTAGCTTCTCGTTTTCCTCAGCTGCCTGTGTGGTTCTGAGAATCCGTAGCTCGGGCTGGTGTGATGGCTCAGATGTTGAAGATGCTCGGCAGCAAGCCTGAGTTCAATCCCCAGGAAGAAAACAAGCTTCAAGTTGTCCTCTGACCTCCAACATGTTCATGTGGCCCCTTAAATACATGGAAATAAAAATGAATCTATGTGGGACTGGAGAGATGGCTCAGTGGTTAAGAGCACTGGCTGTTCTTCCAGAGGTCCCGAGTTCAAATCCCAGCAACTTCATGGTGGCTCACAACCATCTGGAATAGGATCTGATATCCTCTTCTTGTGTGTCTGAAGACAGTGACAGTATACTCACATACATAAAATAAAAAAATAAATCTTTAAATAAATAAACTATAATTCCTTTAGCAAATGCTCAAGGTCTCATCTGCTCATTTCTCCTCCCACTTCCTTTATTCGTTCTCTCTTCTGTCTTTTCCTTCCCTTCCCACAACACCTAGTTCAGCAAAACATGGGTTCTAGAATATTTGGTAATGTCTGCTATTTCCTGCATCCACTGAGGGTCTTGTAACTTTGAAGGAAAATTCCTGGAAGGAAGCGGAGACTACATGGCTAATGGAGGGATCAGAGCTTCAGTGATGTGGAGAGGTTGGAAGTTCACAGCCCAGTTACTTTGGGTTACCTTTAGTCCCCTTTCATGGTCATTTTCTCCCCTCCTTTGTACGAGGCCACATCCTTCAGACTACTAGGTAAATACTTGGATGTATTTACAGAATATAAAAACAGATTCCCAGCTTTTAACTCAAATGCTAAGAGAATGGCCAGGGAGCATCAGGTCTTCAGTAGAGGGTTCCCATTGCTTTGCTGTAATCTGCCTACTGATGTACGTCCCAGTGTATTTGAAAAGTCCGTTTGTTTATGGTATTCCTTGCTCTGTTCAGTCTTGGCCCACCTCAAGCAGGGCCACAGAAGGATTTCTGGTGGTTAAATTTTGTACTCCTCAGGGACTTGTGAAAGAGGTGCCAATGGAGCCATTTCCTTGCCTCTGGCAGAAGGACATATAGGTCGTCTTGACTTATACCTGTGGTTGCGTATCAAAGCCCATGCTGGCCTCCAGCCCTCCAGGCCTGGCCCCTTCCCCCTCCTGCATCTCCTCTATCTCCACATCTCTCTCAACAGTCTCCCTTCTTTCGAAGCCCTGGCCATGTCCTGTCTGCTTCTTTTCCTCTGCACTCTGGACTCTTCCAGATGCCTCTGGATATTTTCTTTCTTATCTACTATCACTGAGTGGCCATTTCGGTGGTTTCTTTATTGTGCTCCCTCACAATTAAAACTGATGCCACATTGGAACTTGGGGAAACCTAAGTCTGTTTGTCCTTGGACCATGGCCACTTATTTTGGCTTTAGAATACACTCTCTCTTAGCTTTGAGATGAGTGTTGTGTTTCTTACAAAACAGGATAAAGGACTGCTGTCTTGTGCTATCCCGCTACAAAATTTTAAGTTTTGACCATAGGATCCCAAAGTCTGAGCCAAACAACTGCCCACTGAATTCCAAAGATATTATGCAACTTGCCCAACTCGTGTGGGTTGTGCTGTGCATGGGACACAGATAGTGTAGGCAGGGCAGCACTTTATACAAGCAGTGGGAAGGAAACAACTCTATGGGTAGACAAATCCTAAATTATTTGATGCATTTTCTTCTACTTGGAAGCTAATTAATACGGGCATGGTATCCTCACACATATCCCATTGCTTGGTTAATAGTCCAGGAGGTTACTGACCATTTAATCCGTGAAGAATAAAGACTCGCTTGTAATCCTAGCATGCGGGAGGCTGAAGCAGGGGGAATCACTGTGAGTGGGCTACATAATGAATTCCAGGACAGCCTGGACAAAAAAGACTCAAAAGACAAACAAAAAGTCAAAATCGTGCTTAGAGAAGGCAAAATATCCTTTCCAGTTTCCAGCCAGTTACTAACCACCTCGGTCAGGTCAATGACTTAGGATTCGAAACTTTTTGCTAGCGACCAGAGATACGGAAATAGGTAGTAAGTATGATGCAGTTTAACGAAGCGAACTGGGTAGTATGACTGGGGAAAAATATTGTGGTCTTTGCGTGTTGTTTCTTACTTCTGCATTCAGGCTGTCCGTGGTGGTATCCGTCCTTCGGCTCTTCCCTCTAGCCTGTGATCTTTTAAAAGTCTGACTTTCTGAAGACTGATCGTCCTTCCTGCCCTGGAGGCTAGGGTGAACCATACTCTGACTCAGACCGAGTGAGTGACACACGCTCACTTTGTAGCCACAGTGATGCTGCCCCCTCCAGCTTCTCATATCTTTTTCCTTTGTAGTACTAGCTTGAGTAATGCTGGGTCCTTGAGGCAAGGGGTGTCTTTGGCTCGCCATCGATCCCTGCTTTTTCTAGATATAGGAAAGCGGGTCTCCGAGAGCAGACGGACTAGAATCAGGGATATGACTAGCAATACACCGCTTGGAATTCACTTTGGACTCCGTGAAGGTGAGCCTGCTTACCAGGTCTGCTTACACAGCACGGGCATGTCCACTAACAGTGTGGAAGGACTAAGTGAGCGATTGCTCATTTAATTCGAAGCCCTCAATTTTCCTCAACGGCGGGGTAAGGAACTGAAATACCCGCAGATCGCCCTCCAACACTCTAGTTCGCCTGCTTTTGCTTAGGAAGACGCGAGGACGCAGGCGCAAAGAGCGCAGCTCGCGCCAGCTAGACCGCGAACACGCGCCTTAGGTGCAGTCCGGGCCCTCCTCCAGGTCCCGCCCCCTCGTGCGGTGCCCCGCCTCTTGCTCCTTGCGCTTGCGCAGTTGTGCTATTCCCGTGAGGCTCCGCGGCGCGGCAGATTCGTATGTTATGGCTGATTCCTGTTCGCTGACATGCTCCTCTTCCGCTTGTGCGTGTAACCACCAGGGCAAGTGGAGCGAGTCCTCGCTGCTGGAGAAACGGCTGTCAGAAGACTCGAGACGCGGTCTGCGGCTGCAGAAGTGGGCGAGCATGTGGAGCTCAGAAGCGTCGGGGTTGGAGCCGAAACGGCGTGAGGAGAAGGCGGCCGCGGCGGAGAACCCGCTGGTGTTCCTGTGCGCTGGCTGTCGCCGGCCACTGGGCGACTCGCTCACCTGGGTGGCCAGCCAGGAGGACACCAACTGCATCCTGTTGAGTAGTCAGTTTGGGCCGGGGCCCGTGGTGCCGCCTTTCCGCGTGGGGGGTTCCTTGGTGCTCCCGGGGACGGGGTGGGGGCGTGAGCTGTCCCAGCAAACCGTAGGAGAGGCGTTCTTGCGAGCGGCTCACGAGTGACAGGTCTTTTTCTGGGATCTTCCATCCCCAGAAGGGCAGCGGTTGAGCATCATCCAATATTAGTCAGAAAGAAATATCCAAGCGTTTTAGCAAGGTGCTTCCTTCAGGGGAGTGTTTTCGAGTTTGATGGACTGTCAGCTGGTTTGGGCGAATTGTAGGCCGCCGCTGCCGACTTTGCTTAGTGCCCTTGGGCAGTCTGTTCAACCGCTTGTGCCTCAGTTTCGTCTCCAAAATGAGGGATAATACATAGGATAATGGGGCCGATTATGTGTATTGATTAAGTGTATGGTATATGGCCACAGAGTTAGGCGGTTTCTTTACAGGGTGAGCCCCTTGATAGAGTTTAGTTTGACCCAAGCATTGCCACCATTAATTAGGACAGCCTAAATTGGGTTGAGATTCTTGATAAAGTAACTTTTTTAATGGCTTTAAAAAAAAGTAACATGTTAAGTCTTTCATGTTATTTTTATACCCCGTTTTTGTAGCGTTTCCATCTTGCTTTCTATATGTATTAATACTGTTGCTAGGTTTTAAATTTTAAGCTGTATGAATTAAATAATTATATTTATCCCCATATTAGTACTTTTTGCTGAGTCTTTTAAACAGTAGGAGCAAAAGTTTCCCATTCACTGGAATTATCTAACCCGTCGCACCTATTAAACAATGCAGAAGGGTGTAGAAGTTGTTTTAAAAAATGACCTTTCAGGTGGGCAGTGGTGGCGCACACCTTTAATCCCAGCACTTGGGAGGCAGAGGCAGGCGGATTTCTGAGTTCGAGGCCAGCCTGGTCTATAGAGTGAGTTCCAAGACAGTCAGGACTACTCAGAGAAACCCTGTCTTGAAACCGAAAACAAAAACAAAAACAAAAAACAAAAAACTTTTCAGATTAATTTCTTTTCCCTCTTGCCCTAGTTGAAGTGTTTTATTTACCTTTGTTCATGTTTATGGTGTTTACAGTTTTTAATTGTTTTTCTGTTGTAATGGGAATCTTACTGTGTTTCCCAGGATGGCTTTGAACTAATGATCCTATCTCAGTTTTCTAAGTAGTGGGGTTATAGATGTGTACCGCTATATCTGGCTCAACACTTAACATTTTAATTATAGCCACAACATGGTTGTTTAGTTTTATTTACTTATTTTAAAGTTTATTTATTTATTATATACAGTGTTATGCCTGCATATATGCCTGCACACCAGAAGAGGGCACCAGATCTTGTTATAGATGGTTGTGAACCATCCTGTGGTTTCTGGGAATTGAACTCAGGACCTCTGGAAGAGCAGCCAGTGCTCTTAATCTCTGAGCCATCTCTCCAGCCCCAATCTAGCTTTCTTATAATGTTTATAAATTCATTTCTCAACCTCAGTAGTTTTGTTAACATATTAAAAAAATTAGGGGTTAGAGAGATGACTCAGTGGTCAAGCCCTTGCAAAGGACGAGGGTTCACTTCCCAGCCCTGATGTGGTGGTTTACAACGGTTGATAACTCCAATACAGGGAGGGGATCTGCTGCCCCAGGCACCGCCCATGCACTTGGTGCACACAGGCAAAACACTCATAAATGGATAAAAATTTAAAATTTATAATTTCCCATTCTTGAGTTGTTTAATTATCACAAATGTCCCCAAGGAAATGTCAAGTTTGGGTGCTGGAAATGTCTTTTTGTTATCTTTATATGTAAATGCTGAGTGCACCAACCTCTGGCCCCCCACAGGTAGTACAAAGGGTTCCAGGCTAGTATGGAAAAAAGACAAGCTTTAGAAAGGGGCCAGGGAATGAAGGGACTTTAGATTGTGGTGAGACACTGGGGATCTATTGTTGAGCTGAGGAGTGACAGGAGTCAGCTCTTCTAGAACAAACACAGAGAAGACACAGCCACTGAAGCTGTACCACCACAGCATCTCTCCAGGCAAGAGGCAGTGCTGATGGTTCAGGGCTTGCTTGCATGATACCCAGAGCCGTAAGAACCAAAGTAGCCTCATGGGATACATCCCAGCTTCTACTTCAGGCAACCACGTTTGTGAGCACGGGGCCTGCTTAGCTGAGGCACCATGGAGGAGGGTGGAATCAAGAGGTTGCTCTGGCCGTTCCACTAACTCTGACAGCACTTCTTCACTTCCCTCTGGAATGTTCTGTACTGTGTTCCAGGTCCAGCTGTGATGTGTCCAGACACAAGATGTCTGGCTGGGGATCTGTTACTCTTAGAGGAGCTCTGCTGGGATCTGGAGGTGTAGGAATAACTGTCTCTGGTCTTGCTCTTGGTTCCACTCTCACTCTCATTCTACCTGGTAGCTTTTCATTATAGCTCACAGCTTGTGCTTGCAGGCTGAGCTCCACCATGGCTCTTTCCTGAGTCATCGTGTTCATTTATTAATCCCACTGGTTTTCAGAGAAGGATGTGAAGTAACTCTCGTTCCACCTCTTCTCCCTTAGTGCTGAGCCACGTGCACACCCACCCATCCCTCCAGTCTTTGGGCTCTTTTTTCCCTAAAGTCCTCTGAGTTCTAAAATACAAGTTAGAGTTGAGTTTAAACTTACTGTCGGCAGGTGTGCTACAACAAACCACAGTAACAAAGCATTGTGGCTCTCTTTCCAGGTGTCTCCTCTAACGTCTCTGTGGATAAGGAACAGAAACTGTCCAAGTGCAGAGATGAAGACGGTTGGTAAGTGAGATATTCATGTGAATATGTTAGAGAAAATTTTAAGTTTAAGGAAGTCTTCTACCATTCTGTGAGATTGCTTAGGATATAACTTTTCATGGTAATTGAATGCATTTTAAACGAAGTAAAAATCCATTATTTGATGGTGATAGCCCCTTTAGATAGGGAAGTGGGAGTTTCTAAGATTCTGAAGTTGTATCTAACACTGATTTTAGGGCTTTGACTTTGATGCCGAAAATAATGAAAAGTAAATGTAATAAATATCTATCTCAAAATCTCCAAGTTGAAAGTGTCCTGCCTTTTCCTTGTGCTGGCACAGGCAGAAAACACTAATACAGAGCCCACCCCCACACCTGACTGGGGTACTCAGACAGGCCATCTGTGGCCATAAGTAAGGAATCCCAAGGACATAACAATCCTAGGTTCTGTGTGCCCACTGCTGGAGCTGAGGGGACAGCTTGCCTTGGCTGATTACTAGTGTTAGCAAGTGCCACCCTCAGCACACTGAGTTGAAAGCTCTGCCTTGGGGTTGGGGATTTAGCTCAGTGGTAGAGCCTAGCAAGCCAAGGCCCTGGGTTTGGTCCTCAGCTCTGAAAAAAAAAAAAAAAAAAAAAAAAAAAAAAAAAAAGGAAGAAAGCTCTGACTTTTATATTTGCTACCCCAGATAGGAACTGTGTCTTGCTGAGGTGTAGAAACTAATTCAGGTAGAACTCAGAGAAGCAAGAGGTGGTACCTGAAGATTTTAAGAATAGTTTTAGTAATGTTCGAATATCCCATTCAGATAAAGTAAGTATTAAAGAGACTCCTGAGTCTTCCTGCCTTTGTTCTTGTCTTCCTCATCTTGTCAGAGAGAAGCTGTGTGTGCTGATGCAGTCTTGTTACCCAGCACTTGCCATGGGAGGATGGGGTAGGAGGGCTGGGCTGCAGATGAGGCCCTGTCTCAACAATAACAACAGCATCAACAACAAGTGGTCAGAATAGCCCCTGTCCACCTCAGGGCTTATGGACCTTACTTAGTTGAAGTTAATTTTTATTTCTTAAAGTCACGTGTGTGTGTCTGTGTGTCTGTAGGTCAGGGACAACTCTTGTCTCAGTGTATGAGTCCTGAGATTGAATCAGGTTCTCATGCTTGGCAGCGAGGACCTTTATATGAGTTGTCTTGCTAGCCTCCAGCTCATGGATTTTAGCAAGGAGGATTCTTATAGGGATTGCTGCTTTCTCCCTAAGTGGTGGTGTTTCTCTGTTGCAGCATCCTTGAGACGCTGTACTGTACAGGCTGCTCCCTCAGCATTGGCTATGTGTACAGATGCACTCCCAGGAAACTGGATTACAAGAGGGACTTGTTCTGCCTCAGCGTTGAAGCTGTTGAAAGGTAGGTCTAATAGATAAGTGGCCGCCTTGTGACTGGTTCTCACAGAATTAGGTCTGCAGAAGCTGTGTGAGAACAACAGTACTAAATCAACACTGTTGGGTTCATATGTGTTCTGGAGTAATAATTTCTGATGGTATAGTCAGTGGTCACCTTCTTCCCCACTTTGAATCTAATTTATTTGGTATTGGAAAAGATAGACAGTAGATTATAGGAGAAAATGTGTGATCTTTTTTTGAAGTAAAAATCAATTGAGTTTTTTTGTTTATTTGTAATTTATTTTACTTTTTTGGCTTTCGTTTTTCGAGACAGGGTTTCTCTTTATAGCCCTGGCTGTCTTGGAACTCACTAAGTAGACCAGGCTGGCCTCACACTCAGAGATCTGCCTGCCTCTGCCTCTTGAGTGCTGGAACTAAAGGTGCAGGCCACCGTTAGCTTCAATGCAGACTCTTAGCTGACTTTGAAATTAAGATCCCCTTGAAACAAATACTTCTGATTTGGAGGTCTGGGCTCACGTGTATAAGTTTGCCTGGCAAGGTGTTTTTAAACAGTTGTGTGGACCAGTATGTACTGTCCACACTTTCCTGTCCTCACTATGAACGTCTTAGAGCAGTGGTTCTTAACTCTCCTAGTGCTTCGGCCCTTTAATACAGTTCTTCATGTTGTCATGGCCTCCAACCATACAATGGTTTTTTTTTTGTTTTTTTCTTTTTTTGTTTTTTGAGACAGGGTTTCTCTGTATAGCCTTGGCTGTCCTGGAACTCACTCTGTAGACCAGGCTGGCCTCGAACTCAGAAATCCACCTGCTTCTGCCCCCCAAGTGCTGGGATTAAAGGTGTGCACCACCATTGCCCGGCCATAAAATGATTTTTGTTGTTACTTCATGACTAATTTTTCTATTGTTGTGACTGGTAATGTAGATATCTGATATGCAGGATATCTGATGTGTGAAAGGATTGTTTGACCTCTGAAGGGATCATGGCTCATGACGAGGGACTGGGGATATAGCTCAGTGAATAGAGTGTTTGGCTAGTATGTACAAAACCCTGGGTTCAGAGCCCAGCACTGTATAAACTGAGTGTGGTGGTGCACACTGGAATCTCAACACTTGGGAGGCAGAGGCAGGAAGATCTGGACTTCAAGCTACATAGAGAGCTGGCCTTGGGACCACAAGACTGTCTCAGAATCCCTCCAACTCCCAAAAAGAATGGCATGAAGAATCTTTTCCTAAAGGAATCCCTTTGATATTCTAGAGGACTAGAAATATAAGTTCAGGTATTTACTGTAATAAGGAATTATCTGGGTATGTTTTCTGTTTTTTTTTCCAAAATGAGAGGAAATATCTGTATTCTGCAAGATTTTTAGAGAATTTCATGCAATGTATTTTTAAAAATTTCAATTATATTTAGCATCTTTTGAAGCCAGACAAGTTTAAATAAAAATTTTATAATCTACAAACCAGTTCACATGGAAGAATCACTAAGCAAACAGAGCGTGTGTGTGTGTGTGTGTGTGTGTGTGTGTGTGTGTGTGTGTGTGTGAGTGATGATCCGTGTTTATTAGAAGGTCAGGTCTCAGGGAGGTGCTTCCTTAACCTGTGTGATGCTCACCAGGTCAGCAACCACAAACTGATGGTGTACATGCCCATGAAGGAGAGGGCATCTCAGTGACATGTGGTCACACTCCTGTAACCTCATACTCCGGAGGCTGAACAGAGAGTGAGGCCAACCCTGGTTACCCAGCAAGATCTCTCCTTAACAATAAATAATGATAAAATGGATGACAGAAATTTTAATCCAGTGGGATTAGAACATATCCCTCTCTGTTTTGTTTTAGTGTTTTTGAAACGGGGTCTCATTATGTAGCCCTGGCTTGCCTGGACTTGCTCTGTATAGATCAAGCTAGCCTTCAACTGAAAGATCCACCTGCCTCTGCCTCTACCCCCCAAGTGCTGGAAGTAATGCTCTGCACCATACCTAGCTGACCCTTTTTTTTTTCTTTTTAAAGAAGAAGTGGCTTCTTTGGACTCAGACTTTGAGGGTACAGTGGTGGAAAGGGTGTTCACAATGTTTGAGGCAGCTGGTCACAGTGCACCTTCAGTCAGGAATTCAGCTGGAATTCACAGCTTATTTTTCTCATTTTAAGATTGAGGTGGGGGTGGGGTCTCACTCTGTGTCCGTTGCTAGTCTTGAACTCAGTGATCCTCCTGTCTCAACCTTTGAGCTGCTAGGATTACAGGGATGTGCTAGGCTAAAAAAATTTAAAGTGATACTATCAATATAAAATAAAAAAATATATACTATTTTGCCCTAGAAGATCACAATATTGAAGTTATTTTTCTCCTTAAGAATTGAATTTAGGGGGCTGGAGAGATGGCTCAGCGGTTAAGAGCACTGACTGCTCTTCCAGAGGTCCTGAGTTCAATTCCCAGCAACCACATGGTGGCTCACAACACCTGTAATGGGATCTGATGCCATCTTCTGGTGTGTCTGAAGAGAGCAATAGTGTACTCATATACATAAAATAAATAATTCTTTTAAAAAAAAAAATAAAAATAAAATAAAAAAATAAAAAAAAAAAAAAAGAATTGAATTTAGGGGCTGGAGAGATGGCTCAGTGGTTAAGAGCACTGACTGCTCTGCCAGAGGTCCTGAGTTCAATTTCCCAGCAACAACATGGTAGCTCACAACCATCTGTAATGGGATCCGATGCATTCTTCTAGTGTGTCTGAAGACAGCTACAGTGTACTCATATAAATAAAAAATAAATCTTTAAAAAAAAAGAATAGAATTTAGGATCCATGTTACCTTACAGGACAGGGTATAAACCCATGCTGAGGAATCTTGAGTTTATTATAGAAGTGTTTGCCCAGTGTAACATTTATTTACAGTTTTAAAAATATTCTAAATCTTTTTTTCCAGTTTATTCCTTTTTTTCTAAAGAGGGTGTTAATCACCCTCTATAATTCTGTTTACTATGCTTTTTTTCAGGAATAGAATCCATAGGTTTTCCAAAAGATTTATTATTTCTTTATTATCCTATGTGTTTATTATATTATGGGCGTTCTGCCTAAATGCACATCTGTGCATTACATGTGTGCAGTGCCTGTGGAGGCCAGAGCGAGCATTGGATCTTTAGGGGTGGAATTAGGCCACTCTGTGCTGCCGGTGTGGGTACTGGGAACTGATCCTAGATCCTCTGGGAGCGCAGCCAGTGCTCTTACCTGCTGAGCCATCTCCGTGGCCTGGACACTTACTTGACAAGATGGCATGAAGTCGCGGTATGAGTAAAAGAAACGGAAGGAGCGTGTCCTTCCTCGTGTGGAGATTATGTGCGAGGTGGCATCAGATGAATTTTTCATGGACCAGGCTGCTGCTGCTTTTTAAAAAGTAAATTTGTAATACTTATTCAGATGAGCATCCCCGTAAACCTAGAGAGCTGTGTAAAACACACATTGTCTAAATCTTACTTGCTAAAGCTTTTCTTATTTTTATTTTATGGTCATGAGTGTTTTGCCTGCATGTATGTGTGTGTGCCACATGTGAGCCAGGTTCCCCGGAAGCCAGAAAAGGTCATCAGATCCCCCAGAACTGGAGTTAGAGAGGGTGGGCTGCCATATGGGCCCTGGGAACCGAACTCAGCTCCTATAGGAGCAGCAAGTGCTCCTAACTGACTCTCTCTCTAACCCTGAGGCTGTCCAGATCTTGATAATCAAGGGTCTAGTCCACAAATGTGAAAATCTCTATCTCTCTTCTGGAAAGTCATATAAAGCAAGCAGTGGCTTCTTAGGTTTGCTCTGCTTATCCTTGGGTCTCTGGTGTTTTGTCGCCTGACTACCTGAGGAGGAGGCTTATTCCAACATTGACATACTTCTAATAGAAAGTGAATACGGAGTGCTATCTGGCCAAAGCCTAGGGAAGGATGAGTTTATGTAGTTTGGCTTCCTCAGGTCTTCATGAAGAGAGAATGGCTGTGTTTAGTTATTTGGTACTCAGACTAATGGACTTAGAGCTGGCATTGTGAGCTGCTATAAATTTTATGTTTATTTCTTTTCATACTTTAACTCTGTAATGTACTGCACCTCAGTTATACCTTAGGGTCCTCTGAAAAGCAAATCGTGCCAGAAGACAAGGAGCTTTTCAATCTTGAAAGCAGAGTTGAAACAGAGAAGTCTATAAAGCAGGTAATTTTACTCAAATTTATGGCTTTGGATGATTTCCCACAGTGATCAGATGACCCTCCACACGACTCTGTGATGTCACTGTTGTTTTCCTCTTAGCACTTTCATGGCGAGACAGTGCTCATGGGCTGTTAGGGAGCCGGGCTGTGAGCTGAAGCTGTAAAAACGCTGAGCACATTCCACACCAAGACCAAACAGCGTGCACTCTGTTTGAGCAGAGATGCACCTTGGAGCAAAGCAAGATTTAAATTGTTGTCTTTTTCATGTGTTTGTGTATTTGTGTGCTTTGCCTACATGTCTGAATGTGTACCATATGCATCCTTGGTGCCTGTGGAGGGTGTTAGATCCCCAGTCAGGTCTCAGGATTGAACCCAGTATGTCAGGCTCAGCAGCAGGTACCTTTACCTGCTAAGCCATCTATGGCCTTAAGCGAATTGGCTTGCCTGGTATAGACAGCTCACTGCTGAATACTGATGTTTCCTGAGACAGGCAAGATGGTGAATGCATGCTGTAAGTGGTGGGCCGTGACTAAAGCTGATCAGATTATCAGCATGTGTCAGTCACTCCACTAGCGAGTTTGGTAGAGCAAACATGTTTATGTCACACATAGCATTCAGAGTGGCATGGCTTATTCTAGTCATTAGACTCTGAGTAATTAGTCACACTCACACTCGTGTTTCTCCATGCCTTTTCAATTTGGTAGATGGAAGATGTCCTGACAGTCCTGCAAACGAAGCTGTGGGAGCTCGAATCGAAGCTGGCTGACCGATGCAGCTGAGCTGCGTCCCCTCCCCGTCGTGCCCACCCTGTTCCTGACATACTGTTTCTCTGCATTTATTTTAGTATGAGCGGTAGCCGTTCCCTGTGTTTGAATTATAAAGCCGGTTCGTGACACATGCTGGAATGGGATTTGGATGTTTTAATTTTAATAAAAATACTGGGATGATTTTCTGTCTTCTTTTTCTATTAAATTTGTCGTATGTATATATATATGTGTGTGTGTGTGTGTGTGTGTGTGTATGTGTTTGTATGTATGTACGTATGTACGTATGTACATATGTATGTATTTTTCTATCTTTTAAAAACTTTGTTACTTTTAATACTTTGAGTATTTAAGAGTAGAGAGAAAAATCTTGTTTTTCTCATCTACTTTGCAGTGTACCCTTGAAAATTAGTGCTTAAGGCTCTCTGGAAAAACTGTCAGTTGTCTTGCTGTGTGCCACTTCATGCTTAAAGAGTCTGTAGAATACTTACCCAAGAGTGCAATCTCTGTGGTAAGATTTTAGTGGAATGTATTAGATTTTGATTTTCTATAATGTAATACCTTTATAAGGAATGTATTAATTTTTATAATAAGAATAAAAATTTTGAAAGTGCTTGAATGTTAATTTGTTTGGTTTTTTGTTTTTGTTTCCAAACTAAATTGATATTTAAGTGAGATAAAAAAAATTCTGGGGCCTTGAAATCTACACACTCAGTGAGCATGCACTGGGCTCTGCTCCGCCCAGCCCCCTTCCTAGGTACAGAGGGCCTGTCGCAGCACTCTGCAGGGCCGGCTCTCAGTGCCTAGTCATTCTGAGAACGCTAAAGTGTAACTGGGAGCATTCCCTTAGGCCCCGGGAGGCTTCGGGGGCATCTCAGATCCAAACAGTAATGTATGTATGAACTCCACGTTTAGTGGTCTCATTTAACAGTTCGATGTATGCATCACACGGCACATGGGCCGCAACAGGTGCCTGTGGCTTGCAGGATCCGGTGTCTGAAGGGTAGCAATACCTGAGCTGCTGGCAACACACTGGCAGCTTGAATCTGGGCAGCATGAGGGTGGGTATTACACTAGAGACATCAGCAAGTACTGAAAAAGGTCAGGCTTCTTCCCTCTTCCTCTCCAGCAGGTTCCCTAGAACAGTACAGTCTATGTCAACCCTACTCCGTAACTTAACATTTAGAAGAAAATACTCAACATACGAAAGACCATTCTGAGTATCTCATTTGATAAGTAAAAAATGAAAATCTCTTAACCATAGGGATTATACCTATATTCTTCATTTCTTCCAAAGAAAAAGCAAAAATTTAAAAACTAGTGACTTGGAGTCTTACTAGTTACTGTCATACATCATTCCAAGACAGGATTTCCCTGTGTAGCCTTGACTGTCCTGGAACTCACTCTGTAGACCAGGTTAGCCTCAAACTCAGAAGTCCACCTGTCTGCTTCCCAAGCACTGAGACTAAATACCAAAGGTGTGCACCACCACTGCCTGGCATGCATGCATGTATGTATGTGTGTGTATGTATGTATTTTTATTGTCCCTGAATAAGGAAACTAGCCACAAGATTCTCGTGTCACTACACAAGAATTAGATTAGTGTAGTTACACAAGTGATTCTTGTGTAGTGACACAAGAATCCCCCCTCCCTCGTGTACGTGCTTGGACACGTATGTGTTCATGTATGTGTGGAGACCAGAGGTTGATGCCAGTTGTCCTTTATCTTTCTCTAACTTAGTTTATGAGACAAGTTCTCTCGATAACCCTGGAACTTGAAAACTTGGCAAAACTAAGTGGCCAGTGACCCCAGGGATTCTTCTGTCTCTGCCCCCAGCTCTGGGATTAGAGGTGTGTGATTCCTTGGCCAACTTTTACGTGTGTGTGCATTTGTGTGTGTGTATGTGTGTGTGAGAGAGAGAGAGAGAGAGAGAGAGAGAGAGAGAGAGAGAGAGAGAATGAGAGAGAGAGAACGGTCCATGGACAGACAGCTTTCAGGAACTTGTTCTACTGTGGGCCCCAAAAATCCAATTTAGGTCTTCCAGCTTGGAGAAATGACCTTACCCACTAGGCCCTTGTCGCCCACCCTGTTGATCTGCCCTGTACTTTTCATCTGGCTGGCTGAGGATTTGCTCATCAGGCATGCTGTGTCTCACACTTGCTTTGTTCCCTCCAGGGTCTTGCAACATCCTTCTGGGGACTGCAGGTTGCTCAGTGGAGGTGGCCATTCTTCCCCAATCAGTAAATCACTTGCTTCAGTGCTTTGATTGATTTTTGTATTCTAGACTTGAGGGAACTGTTCCTTCAAGACTAAGATGTTCCCGTCTGGCTTGAGAACCCAGAGTGGGGCCCTGAACACTGGAGGCCACAAATAATGGTTTTTAAATGAAAAGAGCAGTTTTCTCCCTTCCACTTGCTCATGAGTTACAAGTGGAAGTGGCACCACTGGCCAACGCTAAGCTGAGAAAAGTGGCTTTGTCTAAAATTCCCTTAATATTTTAGAATCAACATATAAGAATAAAAAGAACCGCCGGGCGGTGGTGGCGCACGCCTTTAATCCCAGCACTTGGGAGGCAGAGGCAGGCGGATTTCTGAGTTCGAGAGTTCGAGGCTAGCCTGGTCTACAGAGTGAGTTCCAGGACAGCCAGGGCTACAAAGAGGAAACCCTGTCTCGAAAAACCAAAAAAAAAAAAAAAAAAAAAAAGAATAAAAAGAACCATCCCTAAGTGCAGGGCTTAGCATAAAACATCAACTATGTAAACAGGAATGAGGGGGAATTACCAAACTCAACTCATTTACATATGTAATTACCCACCTGAGATCATTCTACTGTTGTGTCTTTCTCCTCCCACACGGCTAAAAATACTTGTATTAAAAAATGTTTTGGCTCATTGCGTTACTTACCTCGACTCTTAGTTGTCAGGAACAGTCACTGGACCTGGTGTCTGCTTCTATCACCCTCGCCTTCTCACCCGTAGCAACCACGCGCGAGTGCATTTCCATCCACGTTGGCCAGGCTGGTGTCCAGATCGGCAATGCCTGCTGGGAGCTCTACTGCCTGGAACATAGCATCCAGCCCGATGGCCAGATGCCAAGTGACAAGACCATTGCGGGAGGAGATGACTCCTTCAACACCTTCTTCAGTGAGACAGGGGCTGGCAAGCACGTGCCCCGGGCAGTGTTTGTAGACCTGGAACCCACAGTTATAGGTGAAGTTTGCACTGGCACCTACTGCCAGCTCTTCCACCCTGAGCAGCTCATCACAGGCAAGGAGGATGCTGCCAATAACTATGCCCGTGGCCACTACACCATTGGCAAGGAGATCATTGACTTTGTCTTGGACAGGATTCGCAAGCTGGCTGACCAGTGCACAGGTCTCCAGGGCTTCTTGGTTTTCCACAGCTTTGGAGGGGGCACCTCCCTGCTGATGGAGTGGCTCTCTGTTGATTACGGAAAGAAGTCCAAGCTGGAGTTCTCCATCTACCCAGCCTCCCAGGTTTCCACTGCTGTGGTTGAGCCCTACAATTCCATCCTCACCACCCACACCATCCTGGAGCATTCTGATTGTGCCTTCATGGTAGACAATGAGGCCATCTATGACATCTGTCATAGAAACCTTGACATTTAGTGCCTAACCTACACTAACCTTAACCGCCTTATTAGTCAGATTGTATCTTCCATCACTGCTTCCCTCAGATTTGATGGGGCCCTGAATGTTGATCTGACAGAATTCCAGACCAACCTGGTACCCTACCCTGGAATCCACTTCCCTCTGGCCACCTATGCCCCTGTCATCTCTGCTGAGAAAGCCTACCATGAGCAGCTCCCTGTAGCAGAGATCACCAATGCCTTCTTTGAGCCAGCCAACCAGATGGTGAAATGTGACCCTCGCCATGGTAAATACATGGCTTGCTGCCTGCTGTACCATAGTGATGTGGTCCCCAAAGATGTCAATGCTGCCATTGCCACCATCAAGACCAAGCACAGCATCCAGTTTGTGGACTGGTGTCTTACTGGCTTCAAGGTTGGCATTAATTACCAGCCTCCCACTGTGGTGCCTGGTGGTGACCTGGCCAAGGTCCAGAGAGCTGTGTGCATGCTGAGCAACACCACAGCCATTGCTGAGGCCTGGGCCCGAGTAGATCACAAGTTTGATCTGATGTATGCCAAGTGTGCCTTTGTGCACTGGTATGTGGGTGAGGGCATGGAGGAGGGAGAGTTTTCTAAGGCCCACGAGGATATGGCTGCCCTGGAGAAAGATTATGAGAAGGTTGGTGTGGATTCTGTGGAAGGTGAGGGTGAGGAAGAAGGAGAGGAATACTAAGTCCATTCCTCCAGCACCTGTATCATGTCAAACTCCAGCTCCAGCATTAGCCGCAGGCACTGATGCTTCTGTGCTGTTTCCATTCTGTGATCATGTCTTCTCCATGTGTGTACCTCTCAGTTTTCCATGATGTCTCAAAGTAAAAGCTTTAAGAAAAGAAAAAAAATGTTTTGTTTTCTTTTCTCTAACCGAGTACGATGAATTTTTAGAATCGGAGGGGGAAAACCTGACTACTTGAAACAGGACTCTTATCACAGCCTGGTGCTCACTGTGTGTGCCAAGTGTGAGCAGCAAGTCCAGCAGACAGGCAGCATGAGCGATTTGCAGATGTGCAAATGTCAATAGGGGAATTTGGAGGTAAATAGATCAGAGAGCATCCTATTGCACCCAGCGGACCCAGTGCCGGGAGAGCCAGCAACAGTTTTGTATGAACACAGGGCACAGACGCATGCCAACCTGAAGGAAGGTTCTCCGTGTTGGGATGCACTGCGCTTCCCAGGAAGGATGATCTAAGAGCAGGCGTCTCAGGTTTGCAGGGGTAAGTGGCCCCAGGGTCTCTGCATTGACAAAGAACTATACTACCGCACAGCCTCGCCTGGGTTGGAAGAACAGGAACCTAGTGGGAATGCCTTCCTGGGGCATGCAATCCCCAGTGTGACGAGGTCCCAGTGGGGTTGTGCTGAGGCATCCCACGTGGCAGAGTCTTCCCCTAGAGTTCTGAAACCACTCAGGATGGAGATCTCTGTGGCAGAGGTCTCAGAAACACACACTTCTGGCCTCCCCTGCAATTCACAGCTAGAACTTGAACTTCCTGAGGTACTGGTCACGTTCAAGAGTGTGGCAGCTGAGCTGGGGGCTG